AAGGGTGGAGGGGGGGGGGGAAGGACAAAAGGATCCGGCAAAATTAGTAGATCTGTTCGGGACAGCGACGCGCCTGGATGCATATAATTAAACTGTCACAGCTCAGTTCATGCATGTCAGACAGACTGGAAGGAAATCGGTAACCAATTCAGTTTAAATGAGGATTTTTCCTAAACGAATTTTTGTAAACATTTGGATCGTTTTTGTCACAAAGCTGCTTTCGAAGTTTCTGCTAAATCTCTTCTACCGAATGTTGAGCATCAGCTCTCGCAAGAACCAAAAGCTTTCCTAGCGCAAATCTCAGTTTTACCTAATGATCCGTGCAAATAAATGTGAAGAGGTGGAGTGAGCTCAATGTCTGACTAATAAAGGTAAACCTCTAGCTGATGGTCGCACATCCATTTGATGAAGCAAAGTACTCGAAAAAATGCTCCATTCGAAATGCGACTTGGATCCATGGTGTTTAACTGGGAAGAATGCACGTAATGCGTCCCACAACGCCCAGGTCAAGTTAAAGTACTTGGTTCTTTTCGGAGAATGTAATTTTAGTAACGCATCGTTGTTGGGAAAATTGTTAATCCGTCAACGTCTTGGTGATCAACAATGATAGTTAGGACATATCAAGACACGGTACATTTTGCTAACATCAAATGGTTCAATCGCCATCGACAAAGGTAGGTAAACATGTACATCATCAAACTCTGGTTGCTATCCAAGGACCTATGACTGATGCCGTTCACTCGATTGTAAACCGATCTTTAGAAGGATATCCATAGTAATCGAAATGTTAACTGGTTATAAGCTCTTACGACAGCGCTGCTTTGTTAAATGTCAAACGTTTACATACAACATTCCACATTGCCCATTATCATTCGAACTCAAAGGTTTGAAAAGATCATTGAGAAGCACCATAATAGATGTAGTATAACGTTGGAGTGCCTTAATGATATGAATAAATTTCCAAGCATCGAGTGAGATGTTGAACGTGAAAGGAGAGCCGTCTAATTATTTGAAAAACACTTGTAGATGGGTGTAGGATCTTATGTAATGTATATACCGAGATGCCAAATGGTGAATGAAGGTCAAGATGCTCTGAAATTGTGAAATTAGATATTTGTGTCGAATTGCGAACAAATATCAACATCGCCCATTATTAATGGGTAGAATTGCTTCTGTGACTGATCGGTGACAAACTCAGAAAAGGAAAAATGATGACAGAATAGCACTTTGGTTTTTACCTGTCGGCTGACCAACTTGATATACCCCGGAAACGTATTAAGGAGGTGGAAGTTGATAGAATAAAAATCCCTTAATGAAACGGTTCTTCAAATAACTGAGTATTGAATGAAGATCAGGTGCCTGTATGTATGAAAGTTAACAACTTAGACAGTTGACTTCATAGTCTATAATTTTAGAAACACTTGCCGAAAACTTCATGAGCTTTAGTGTTAGAACGGAACCGTTTTCTCTGGGGATTAACAACAGAGTCAATTTTTATGCAATGGCTGATGATAACCTACCGCTTTCGTTGTTTTGGGTCCAAGGTGCACGTGGCGCCAAAAGTACGTTCGTTTGTTTTGTTCACTGCATTAATTGAACAACTGTGTTAATGAGTCATCCAACTGGCAAGCGCGCTCGTTCATCCGTTTCTTTTTTATTTTCCATAATTTTGGATATTGACACCCGGATACTATCGTTTATTCGGGTGATCGCTTTGTCTTTAGATGCCATTTTTCTAATCAATTGGCTTTCATATTTGCGATCCAAACCTGTACTCCCTTCCGTGACTGAAGCTCAGTCTCTGTATGACTCAGAGACTCAAACCGGAGAATGGTGGAGTGCGTTGCTACGTTAGCCCTCATGAGCATGATTCCTGCTCCCGTCCACACCGTCATCCTTTTAAACCACACACAATTCAGTTACTCCCCCTCTTTCCACTACGGGATTTTTATACATTCTCCCAAATGTGCGCAAAAATCGCACTATTTGTCATAATTGTAAAATTACATTGGTCAGAATGTGAACTTGTCGAGAGCAAGCGTGTTTGCTGTTTTGTGAATGGTCATTAGCAAAATGGGTATTTCCGGTGAGCCGGGTGTTAACCAGATTCAGCTGGTTTAAAGATAGAGTTGTATTTTGCTCA